AGCAGAAACTTTGTCTATTTAAAAAAACCAAATGACATCTTAATAAAGAAGTACTACTCTTATTGAAAATCTTCTTTTCTTAATAGAGAGAGAGAAAATTATTCTGGGTAACTGTTGTCCAGGTCAAGCCCTTTTGCATTTTCCGTGAGAAAACCCACTCCAAATTCAAAAGCCAGCTTGGGATGAGCTGAAAATCTGATTATGTTCATAATAAAAATAAAATCCCTCAGTCCTTTACACACAGAATATTTACAATGCCTCTGTGCACCATTGACATTCTAGGCACACTGAGGTTTGCTCAAGTTGAGAATGAAAATAAGGACCCAGAACTTAGCTTGCTATTACAGAGAGAAGTTCAGAATGATACTGTGACATGAGGATCTGTTTATCCCTAAGGCTGGTGCAGCAATGACTTCAAAATTTGATGGTGTCTTTTTTTTTTTTCTTCTAAAGATGTTGAGCAGAAGGCTAATGGATCCCCAGCAGGGTGCAAAGACAGCAGAAAGCAGTGGAATCAGATGTCAATGTATTCCTCTAAGATACCCTGCTAGGACAGAGCTAACTAACCAGGGTTTTAGTCTCTTGGGGAATGTGCTTTGATGATTTCCTGCCCACTCTTGGCTTTCTATATGCTTCCTGATTATAATGTTATCACAGATAAATCATGACTTCTGCCTGTTAGGATCATTTTCTTTCTTTCTTCCTTCTTTTCTTTTTTTTTTTAAAGAAAAGTTTGAAACCACAGGATTAAAAAGATGAGCAAATTCCAAAGAACTACATGCTCACATAAAAACATATGTATAAATGCCTGTACTACCTCCCTGTTATATCATTATCCATGGGTCTTGGACTGGACTGTTCTGTACATGTGCTCTACTCACCTGGCATGGTGTGAGAGCTAAATCAGTGTCACAAATCTTGCTCTCTTTCTTCTTAAGAGATAGAACCAGTCAGTCTCTCTTGTTTAAAAGAAATATGGTAAAGAAGGCCCACAAATCATTTTTTCTGATTTATTTATATATTTTGATATATTTTTTTTGTCACTCATTAGACTACTTCGCTAACTTCCTAATAAATAGACTTCAGGGGAGGGGGAGTTCGTCATTGTTATCCCTCAACATAGACACAAATTGACTGTAAATTTATCCCAGAGGTAAGAGTTTGGATTTTACATGCTATGGGTATCCTAAATGTACTGGCGTGGGCATACACAGCTCTACTGGTATAGGCACAACTAGGTACACAAATAAGCATCAGTCATCTGAGAGTAGCTATCATCTTTACTCTTTGCTTGGAGGAGAGACAAGCTCAGCCAGCAGGAACTCAAGTGGAAAGTACTGGATCTATTTGATATTTGACAAGCACAATCCTTTTAAAACCATGAAGTAAAACTGAACTACCCAATGAAAATCAATGAAGTCAAAAAGCTGTACTACAAGCATGTTTGTATCTCCTGCCCAGCTGCACCGCCATTCTCCTCTACCAAACACCCTCCAGCTTGGGTCCCCTTTGCCAGCTCCCAACCTTTCTGGATGCCATTTCTCCACACTGCTCCACCTGCAGGAGGACCACAGATCTCTTTATGGGAATGTTTGCCTGAGGCTCTACCTAAGTTTCTTGTCACCCAAGCTTAGTCCACCTTGGAGTCAGGATTTGGCCATTAGAGAAAACATTCTTTGTCTTATATGTCCTATTCTGTATCCTATTGCCATATGCCCAGATCAATGTAGTAAGGCCAAATGGATTCTTACATTCTATATTTCAGACCATGTCATTACAGACTGATCATATTAGGAATTCCTGCCACCTGCCAACTTCCCCGTCTGCCTTCTATCCTCTCAGACTCCTCATTATTACACTTTTATGTTCAAAACCCTAAACTGGCCTTCCGCTGAGTTGCCTCAGGGAAGTGTCACATCAGTGACTTTCCTTGCTTGTCATTTTCTCAAGACTCTCTGCCTTCCCACTAATGGTGATTCCTGCCCACTGACCGATTCATTTTAGTTCTGAAGCATCAACAGCTCATGTGAGATTATCCAGTTAAATAGTAGGGGGTAGGGGCGAGACCACTGCATGAGATGAAATAAAAGAGACCTTCAGAGAAGATACATAAACTCACTCTTTAAAGTTTCAGTTTGAGTACTGAAAGGTTGGCTTCAAAGCCTTGTAAAAAACCTACACATAAAGTGGGAATTTTTTTTTTAATTGGTGGTAATAAGGAATCAAAAAGAGCAAGATTTTTTATTCTCTGTTAAATGAGAAGAATCAGCAGCAAGTATGAATATGAACTGCAAACAGCTCCTTCCACATTCCCTATGAGTATGACATGCTTCTTCCCAGCTGGCTAAATAATAAAAAATGGTGGGAAAAATTTCCATAAGAGGTAGAGTGGGTCAGTAGAAGGCCACTACAGTAAAACAAAGGTCCTGGATGAGTAAGACCCAACTCTAACTTGGCAGAAGCATCACTAAATCTTTCTATATGTTAATTTCCTATAGATGAAAATAGCAGGTATATCTAAACTCACAAATAAGTTGTAAAGTAAAACAGATGTGAAACGTAAAGATGATGTATTACATGAAGTGATAATGTTACTCCCTAAATCTAGAAACTTCTATTTCAAGTAACTTTCTTTTTAACCTAAAGATTTCTAAGTATTTAATAGGAAGTATAAGATAAGCCCTAACAATTGTGAATCTGTAATAAAACAAATTAACATGGAAAACCACATGAGGGTCCTTTACAGCATTTACTATAACTAATCACATAGGAAGAGTATGTAGACTGGATTTACTCCAAAATAGTTCTGCAAACTAGTACCAAAAATTAAGCAGTCCTCCACCCTCATGTATGTGCCCATCCTCTTAAGCCTTACCCACAGTAAAACGAATATTAATTGCAAGAATAATTTATGCAACCCATTTATTGCTTAAGTGTGCACAGGAAACTGAGTAACATTAAAAATAACTCAGCGTGGGTAGTCAAGGTCAATTTAGCAAGCAAGGTCTACTTGGCCCAGCAGCTGTGGACTTTGTACATGGGGTCAGCTTACTCAGAGACATTGAGGCTGGGAGGAGTAGAGAAGAAGAGAAGAGAGTAGAGGATCCCTTTATAATAAAGTGTACATCATTCCTGATTTCTTGTCCAATTTTTCATTGCAAATAAAAGAACATTATGTTCTTTTTTTTTTTTTTGAGTTGGAGTCTCACTGTCACCCAGACTGGAGTGCAGTGGCCGCTCCTGGCCACCACAGCCTCGACCTGCTGGACTAAAGCGATCCTTCCACCTCAGCCTTCCGAGTAGCCGGAATTACAGGCATGTGCTACCACGCCCAGCTGATTTTTGATTTATTGTGGAGATGAGGTCTCGCCAAGTTGCCCAGGTGGATCTCGAACCCGCAGGCTTAGGCAATCCACTCACCTCAGCCTCCCAAGGCGTGGGATTACAGACTGAGCCACCGAGCCCGGCTCATTGTGTTCTATTTTTAATGACATTAATCAATTTTAGATTATTTTAAAATTTTGGCTGATTTTATCATGTATGATATAAAACAATGAATTTACTTTGTTATTTATGGTTATTAAAAATTTGCATTTCCATCTTCAAGGCAGTATTCTAAGTTTGTTTGCTTTTGCTTTTATTAGGATTCTGTGACAGGGCTCAGCAGTTTCTAAAAGTGCTGAAAACGAAGTGGTAGATGAGCTAGAACTTGATGGTTGTGAGGTCCTTAAAAAACAATACTGTGTTTTTAATGGCATTACATAGGGTGAGAAACTAAAGAGGTTTTGTTTTCCCTGCATGTTTCTCACTTTGAAGTTAGAAAAGAAGCTCCGTCTGATTGAGCTAGGTGGGGGGTAAAGAACTTGCCAGGTTTCACATATGAAAGCAAAAGCCTAGAAGTGGAATTAAAAGCCAATATACACTAAACTGTTAGTGTTAACTGATGTCAGCCCTAATCTGTACTCAAAAGTGGAGTGTGAACCATTCAAAACGATACTTGTCTCCTTGCTAGGAGCAGGGGCCTGCACACCAGGCAGCAAAGTTAGGAATTCGTTAGTGCATCTCTTTATTTTATTTTTTATTTTTTTGCGTTGGAGTCTCACACTGTCGCCCAGACTGAAGTGCAGTAGCCCCTCCTGGCCACTGCAGCCTCAACCTGCTGGGCTCTGGCTATTCTTCTGCCTCAGCCTTCTGAGTAGCTGGAACTTCTGAGTAGTAACTCAGCCTTCCGAACAGCATGCGCTACCACCCCGGCTGATTTTTGATTTATTGTGGAGATGCGGTCTCGCCAAGTTGCCCAGGCGGGTCTCGAACCCGTGGGCTCAGGCAATCACTCACCTCAGCCTCCCAAAGGCGTGGGATTACAGGCTGAGCCACCGAGCCCAGCTCGTTAGTGCATCTCACTCAGAATTCATTGGTTGGGATTTGTCGCACACATCTGAGAGAGGGGCAGATTTTGAAGACAGTGCTTCACAACCCCCCTGGTCACGGGGTCGGAGCAGAACCCCATGTTTCATGGAACCCTCATGTCTCACATGATATTAATAAAGGAAGAGAAAAATTGTAAAATATAAAAAAGATTTCCATGGTCACATATGCTTAAGAAATTCAGAGTTAATCAAGGTCACACATGTTTCTTGGGTCTGTGAGCTCTTTTTGAAGAAATAGCTATTAGACAATGGCTGGATATTTGTGTTCCATGGGGCACAGTTTGGGAGATACTGAGATCAAATATTATGATCCCTGGTTTACATATGAGGCAGTGAAGTCTCAAGAGATTACATCCTAGAAGGTGGTGAAGGGTGCAGGTCTCTAGCCTCCTAGTACCAACTCTTCCCAGGGGACAGTCAAAAACCTACCAATGACAAATTGCAGCGGGAGTTCTCAACTACGTACACACAGAAAAGTCTCCTAAAATGAATGCTTCTGAAAGTACTTTGTGCACACTCTTCCTTTTCTGCCTCAGTCAGGACATGTAGACCCTCCCAAATCAAAATTACCTGATACAGAGGCATGCAGATGCTATCAATCCACTCCAGTTGCAACCGAGGCAGTTCATCTTTCCGGTTCCGATCAAAAATAGCCTAGAATAGGGGAGAAGAACCTTGCTTTATTACACCGAAGTATTTTACGGGTGCTTTATCAAACACTTTGCCATAATGGTCCAATTTTTATAAACTGAACACTTCACAAATCACAATCAATCTTTACACATACTAGCTTTTCCTTTATCTATGATGAGAAATAAAGTATTTTCACCTCCTTTTTATGAGATTTGTAAGCGAATTTATTTGAACTTTATAACATGCAACTTCTTGAGGCCAAAATCTGTCTTGAGATGTAAGTTACTGCTACTAAATCAAGTCATCAGGTCACTGGGAACTGGGTACAAGTCAAGGGGAAGCCTTGTGCTTTACTGCCACAAGAATAATGCAGGCTATAGTGAGAAAATGGAATAGAATGAAATTGGATTGGAAAAGATTCTTAAAAGCCATTTTATTTTCAATAGAAACCATTTATATTTATTGTTCAAGGTGGGTTGTTGATTCTCTATAGTTTTCTTTACTATCTAGAATTTTTGTATTTATTCAATTACCCTGTTTCTGGTGGGTATTATAAAGTCACTGCTTAAAAAAAAAACAAAAAACAATTTGGTGGTTTTTCGTTATTCACAAATTTGTACAACTGTCACCACAATTAATTCTAGAACATTTTTTATCATCCCCTAAAGAAACCCTATACCATTAGCAGTCACTCTCTTTTTTCCCCAAACTTCCAGTCTTAGGCAACCATGAATCTCCTTTCTGTCTCTATGGATTTGCCTAGTCTGCACATTTCATATAAATGTAATCATATGACATGTGATCTTTTGTGATTGGCTTCTTTCACTTGGCATAATGTTTTCAAGGTTAATCCTTGTAGCATGCAACGGCACTTCATTCATTATTATTGTCAAACAATATTTCATCATGTAGATCTACCATGTTTTACTTATTCATTCATTAGTTGATCATCATTTGAGTAGTATCCAGGCTAATATGAATAATGCCGCTATGAACATTCATGTACAATGTTGGGATGTATGTTTTCGTTTCTCTTTGGATTATACCTAGAGGTGAAATTTCTGGGTCATATGATGACTGTTTAACTTTCTGAGAAATTGACAATGCTTTTCTTTTTTTTTTTGAGTTGGAGTCTCACTCTGTCGCCCAGACTGAAGTGCAGTGGC